TTCAAGAATTGGTAATTTTTCAAACCGCAATACTATATATTAATGAAGAAGATTGAATTGCACGATCCAGAATCTTAATCGTCTGAGTTTTTCTATTGCAGAATTCGGTTAGCCAAGAGAAAGCTACTGAAGAGTCTCACCATACTCCTCAGTAGCTTTCTCTTGGCTAACCGAATTCTGCAATAGAAAAACTCAGACGATTAAGATTCTGGATCGTGCAATTCAATCTTCTTCATTAATATATAGTATTGCGGTTTGAAAAATTACCAATTCTTGAAGCACCGATTGGTCAAAACTACCGACTATTACTACTTGAGCAGACGTTGCGTTTTCATTACGATTCTGAAAGGAGCGAAAAATATTAATTTTGACAGTGATAAGTTAAAAAAATATGGTGATTTTTGTCGAAAGTAACCTTGTACAGTGATTTTCGTCTAGGTGGGTTGATTCATGGCGAGGGGGTTGGACACATCGAAAAGCGTTGGGACTGCATTTGATTTAAGTTTTCTCCAGCCATCAATGCAGTAAGCTTCAAATTAGGAATCTTCAAAATGTACCTTGAAACAAACAAAAAAATATTATTAGCGTTGAGTATTAGGCCATTGTGTGATATGATAAAAAAAAATTATATCCTTATTTTGATACTTACCTCACACAATCGCGAAGAAGTAGTCGGTGTCCACTTATCTCGTCGCATATTGTCAACCCATTTTGTCCCACGTTTATCCTTCGGGAATGAGAAGAGCCTATAACTCTTGTCAACCCGATTACTGCAGCACAGTCAGGCATTTTTTAAATGCGAATACTTATGCCCTTATACAATTTATTTCTGCAACAAGAAATGCGGCGACTTTCGATCAGCATTGTAATACTCGCTGTAGTAACACTCGCTGTAGTGGCACTGATTTGGCACGAAAATGGCGGATAGGAATACTCCCATCTATAGCACCTTACTAAACTACAGCAGCGGATCATTTCTGATTGGTTACGCGATTACGCGATACGCGGCAAATGTGCCTTAGGCTAGGTCCACAACTTTGCTTTAAGAGGCCGTAAACTTCCGGATTTACAATAGATATTTAACTCCGGATCTACAATAGAGTTTTAAGTTTTAAGTCATAAGAAATGGACGAATCGTAGTCTATAATTCTCCTCGAATTCGACTGTAATTGGTCAATTTCTTACGACTAAGACTTAAAACACCTATTGTAGATCCAGGGTAAGACTTAAGTCGTAAGAAATTGACCAATTACAATCGAATTCGAGGGGAATAATCGACTGTGGTTCGCCACTTTATATATACATATAATATTATATTTAATATTTTATTTAGAGAGATAAACTCAGATAAACTATATATGTATGTATATGCATACATCTAACCTTGATACAAGCTTTCGAATCACATTTTCTACTTACCTCTCGTGTCCATCACCCACAATGAATTATTTTCTTGTAACGGTGTTCCATTATCATTGGTTATTAACATATGCACATCTTTGATTAATTTTAGAGCTATTTTAGGGAAATGAAGTCGTTACTTTAGAGACCGTTCGAACGGGACGGACGTGTGCGTCTCGCTTCGTGAGTTGCATCATCTCAATATTCAAATTTCGTTTGCCGCACTTACTCTTTCAACCCACCTCGGAAGCAGGGTTCATAGAGTTGACTCCGAGGTAGATTTACTCATACTTTTGGAACGAATAGACTCCGCCCATATGGTCAGTTACTTCGCGTTTTGGAACGGCGTAGAGTTAAACTCTGTTACTCGGAGTAAATTTTGGAACGCACCCCTATATGGTTATAAGGGGACCCTAAAGGCCCGTCTACAATACATGTAGTAAGCTTGGTTTAAGAAGTAAGAGTAAGAAATTGACCAATTACAGTCGAAGGAGTAATTCGAGGGAGTAATCGACTATGATTCGCCCATTTCTTATGGCTTAATCCCGGATCCATAATAGAGTTTTTAGCCTGAAGCCATAAGAAATGGACGAATTATAGTCGATCATTCTTCTCGAATTCGACTGTAATTAGTCAGTTTCTTACGACTTAAAGCTTAAAACACCTATTGTAGTTCCGGGGTAAGGCTTAAAACTCTATTGTCGATCCGGGGTAACCCTCAATAGGGTTTTAAAGGGACCCTAAGTCCGGATCTAGAATAGGTGTTTTAAGACTTCAGCCGTAAGAAATTGACCAATTACAGTCGAATCCGAGGGGAATAATCGACTGTGATTCGCCCATTTCTTATAGCTTAAGGCTTAAAACCCTATTGTAGATCCGGGGTAAAGGCCCGTCTACAATACATGTAAGCTTGGTTTAAGAAGTAAGAGTAAGAAATAGACCAATCACAGTAGAATGTGAGAAGAATAATCGACTGTGATTGGTCAATTTCTTACGGCTTAAGGCTTAAAATCCCATTGTGGATTCGGGGTAAGAGGTCGTAAGCCGTAAGCTGTAAGAAATTGACCAATTACAGTCGACTATTTTTCTCATATTCATAGGCTGCGTTCAGCAGACTCAACAGTTTTGCAACCGTTTTATGATTGTCTGCTGAGATAGGACCACTCTTCTAGATCTAAAAGTATGATCCAATCAGCTCGAAGGAAACTTCCAACAGTTGCAAAAGTATGATTGGATCATACTTTTAGATCTAGAAGAGTGGTCCTATCTCAGCAGACAATCATAAAACGGTTGCAAAACTGTTGAGTCTGCTGAACGCAGCTCATGTGACGGCACCCTAACTAGGAACACTAAATTCGACGTTTACGAGGCACCATCTCGTGATATTGTTGCGTACCGTGTTGTTAATTTCAATCGTCACGTGACTCGTCGAGCCAATCGTGGCAGCTCGATGACCCTATACGTGGCATAAGGTACAGATCCTTTCCACGTCCGCCATTTTGACATACGGTGCTTTTCGCGAGTGTTGGTTTTATGTTTTATCGTTTCTCGTGAAAATAATCTTTTTTACTGAAACGTAAGTAACATAAGTGGCATATATGTGCAACGTGGCGTCACCAGAGAACTCGATAGTAAGAGCAAGTCTCTGGGTAATGGATCTTTGAACAGGGAACCTTTGACGATTCTCTGGGGAATAGGTCGAAGGTGACAGGCCACCGGGTGTACGCAGTGGCTTCGCAAACCGCACGATATCCTCTACTTTGCCCGCGCGGTTTCACGCTCTGCTGGCATTTTAAATAGTACCAACACCCTTAAATAGTACGAAAACCACATAGAGATCGTCGGCAAAGCAGTCAATATCGATCCCTGAGGGTATGCTGGTCCGATAATCACAACGATTTTATTGAGGATGAGAATCGATAGCGAGTAGCGTGAAACAGTGTCTCGTTCATGTCCTTTCATCATTTTTTTTTCTCTCCTCTTGACGAAAGGTATCGGACGTACGATTCCCGCCGTGTCGAGATTCATTGTCGATTCTCCTGTGTGCGTGTGTGTGCGTGTGCGCGCGCGCGCGCGCGTGTGTGTGTGGGTGTGTATTTATGTGTGTATGTATGTATAGATATGTGTATCTCGCGATTGCTTTTTTACGGCATATATATCAGGTTAGTTTGCAAGATTTTGGAATTTTTCGTGTATATACACAAGGACGTGATCGCACGACCGCGAAGACTGATGCTCGGACTGATCACAAGTGCTGCATTTCGAGAAACGTGTCTTAACGTTTCTCGTGTCGCCGCAATCGATTTAGAGTTTCTCTTTCATTCATATACAAATCGTTTTTTCATCTATCGTTGCTCACAAATGTATCCCCCTCCCCCCATTAAATTTACTCCTGTCTCGATTTTATGCATAACAAAAGATAATAGGAATAAAAGAATCAACATCTTTATACACAATACACGTTTAAATGTTTCCCAATTGCAAATGTTAGATGGTATTCATACACATAGATATTTTTGGTACACTATGCACATATTTAGCAATCACGTAATGTCGCTAAATTTATTTCAACATATCAATCTAATTTCTTCTTACATGAATGCTACAATTCTACCATTTAAAAATTATGTCGCATCTTAATATATTGTGTTGTATAGTTGAAAAATATAGGGATGTTATACTTTCTATAGTATTTTGTGTTGCTTAGTGTTAAATGTAAATACGTAGTTTCAAACTATGAAATTAGAGGTAAAATATTAGGGATACGCAGGAGACATAATCTACGTTATTGCATAGAATGACAATGTGTTTCTAAAAGTTAAAATCAAGCATATGTGTGTGTATGTATCTGAAGGTTTGACATACCAGATACATATATTTTGTAAGAATATTATAAGCTATTTTTATTGCGTTACAATATAATGGATATGCATATATATGTTATATGTATGTATGTATATATACATATGTGTGTATATGTATGTGCATGTATTCAGGTCCTGACATACAAGTTTCAATCATGGGGAATATGTTTGCAACGTTATTCAAAGGTCTTTTTGGCAAAAAAGAAATGAGGATTTTGATGGTGGGTCTTGATGCAGCAGGTAAAACCACAATTCTGTACAAATTAAAATTAGGGGAAATTGTCACTACAATTCCTACTATAGGTAAGTACATGTTTGTCTCTTTCATGTGCACCTGTAATTTAAAGAATGTATTATCAGATATTAAGTAACATTTTATACATTTCATTCCTATAAACAATTACAATTTATCAATTTATTCGACCGTAATAATATAGTTCATTTTTTGTATATATTGTAGAGCTTTTATATAAAAAAAAAAAACTCCTGAGTAGTCACCACAGCCATATTGAACCATGATGTCAGAAGCGAGAAATGATAGGTTAATCAGGAGACACCATAGTGTCTTGGCGCTAAGCCATGCGCAACGACATTACCGTGGTTCTGCGAGACCATAATTTTTATTACATATCATTTGTAAATAAAAGCAATTTGGATAAAATAAAATGATGAGATTGCTTTAAAACAATTGTAAAAAATCTGTGAAAGCTATTTTTATCCCCTGACAGTCAGTAAATAATCGTAAAAAGTGATAAAATTCACTTACACTTTTTACAATTATTTTGACCAACTGTCAGGGGGAGGGAGCATAGTTTTCGTTCATTTTTACAAATGTTTTAAAACGATCTCGCCATTTTGTTTTATCCAAATTTTTGGATTTACCCTTTATTTACAAATAGCTCGTAACAAAAATTAACATGTCATTTCTCTGTCACTTCTGACACTTGAATCACGATTCAATATAGCTATGGTGATGACTACTCAGCAGCCTTAAATACTGTAATAGTTAATAAACATGTGAAAGGTAGTAATATTACACTCACGTAAATATATTTTTTAGGTTTCAATGTAGAAACGGTCGAGTATAAAAATATAAGTTTCACTGTATGGGATGTAGGCGGCCAAGACAAAATAAGACCTCTGTGGCGGCATTACTTTCAGAATACACAAGTATGTTTATCCTTTTTTATTGTAAATTGTTAATATGTTTTTCCATTAAATTGATATCTTATTCCATTATCACATTTTTCTTTATACTTAATTTATAGGGATTGATATTCGTCGTTGATAGTAATGATAGGGAACGTATTGGTGAAGCACGTGAAGAGTTAATGAGAATGCTGGCGGAAGATGAACTTAGAGATGCAGTACTTCTCATATTTGCTAACAAACAAGTAAGTCTTTTGTTGGAGATTTGTGTAAGAGTGATTTAAGCAAAGGACACTATTAAATGAATAACATTTCAGGATCTGCCAAACGCAATGAACGCAGCAGAAATCACCGACAAGTTGGGGTTACATTCTCTACGTAATCGCAATTGGTACATCCAGGCAACGTGTGCCACGAGTGGAGACGGACTTTACGAAGGTCTCGACTGGCTTTCCAATCAGCTGAAAAATGCCAATCGCTAATTGGGAAAATTACTCTGTCAACATTCAGTTGCTATTAACATCATACAAAAATAGCTGCACGCCTCCTCCCCCCTCTACTACGAATGAGCAACAAAAGAAACAACCGATACAAACGTCGCAAGCTCTCCGCGATTTTGAGTGGAAAATGTAGAAGAGGTTATTCCTGGGAGTTGACTGTGTGTCAGTAGGTTTTTTTTTAAGGGGTGAGAGGAGCGGGAAGCGGCCGCAGGCACACGATCGAACGGCCACATCGGACTATTGCCTTGCGCAACTTATTATAATTATTATTATTATTATTATTATATTAGCATTATATAGTTACACTTTTTACACAGAGATGCCACAAACATGTGGAAAACTTGGAAGTAATTATTATATTAAAGTACCTAACTTTGAAACATACAATACACATTGATTAATGAGTAATTTAAATGATACCTCTCTTCGATGAGAAAATTTAACACGCGCACACACATACACACACACACACATACACGCGCGCGCGCGCGCGCGCGCGAGAAAAGAAAAAGGTAAAGTACCCACAATGTTGCCAGTTTTGAATGCGTTGAACATACCGATTATCATAATGTAGCTGCATATTGTACATTACATTATATAAATATGATAAAAATGTGATCGATAGACGAAAGAATGTTGCTCTGTCCACTACATTTTCAAAAATTGCTCTTGCTCGGCCCAGCGCGATTTATACGAAAATGCAAACGGTGATTGCAGCAGAGAATGCAATGACTAATCATTTCCTAGTTACAAAAGTTTCTTTCTATTTTTTTAAATTTTCGGCGATAAAAAAACTTGGGAAAACTGAAGATGTGGATAATTGTCTGACTATCTGGTCACGCGGCAAGTGTGCATCTTCCTTTCACCTATCCGCCTTCAAACTTGGGTATTCAAACATGTATGTTTTGTTAGAAAAAAACGATTTATTTATTACACTTTGATAAGAGAGGATTAAAACATGTCTTTGACATTCCGAAATTGTGCAGTGAACGCGATGGAAAGTCCAAAGACTCAAAAGAGATTTGAAAAGGCTCTCGAGCTGTCAGCGAAGAGTCAGGCCTCGTAATTGTTAAATTCGTAAATTTTGCTATTGTAGCGTTATACGCTATTAATTTCGGTAATATAATTCACAGTCGTTCTTCGATGTCCCAACATTTCTTTTTATTTTGTCTTTGAAATACATTGTTTTTATAATATACTCCTACCCCTCTAATTTTTCATTCAATCGCCTTTTCGTCATATGCGAAAATTCGTATAATTATGTATGAATGTTTAAACAATTTGTGAAATATATTATAATTGTGCTTTATATAAGTAGTCTATGCATTATTCGCCAACGGATACATAGTCTTTATTTTTATTTAGGTAAATCTTATTTAGATTAGTAATCAATTCTGAACATTTCCCACGTCTTCGTGTAACATTGAGAAATTAAACTTTAATGTATAATAAAAATAGAGCGGCAATAGATATTTTTTTTACGATAAACAATTTTTTTATCATTAATTCTCGCATCCTAAGATTAGAATCCTAGCAGAGAAATCAGAGAGGCAACAAGTGCGGTCGATAATTCAAAAATCGATAAATCGCTACCATTTTTTTTACCATGGAGCAATCAAGACCAATTAGAACCCATATATGTAGTATCACCTGCATCACCTGTATTAGACTAGATCCACAACCTTGTTTTACTCCAGATCTACAATAGAGTTTTAAGCTTTAAGCCATAAGAAATGGATGAATTATAGTTGATTATTCTCCTCGAATTCGACTGTAAGTCCGGATCTACAATAGATGTTTTAAGTCTTAAGCCATAAAAAATTGACCAATTACAATCGAATTCGAGGAGAATAATCAACTGTGATTCGCCCATTCCTTATGGCTTAAGGCTTAAAACCCTATTGTAGATCCGGAGTAATTGGTCAATTTCTTACGGCTTAAGGCTTAAAACACCTAGACCCTAAGCCGTAAAGCCATAAGAAATTAACCAACCACAGTCGATTATTTTTCTCATATTCAACTGTGATTGGTCAATTTCTTAAGGCTTTAGGGTGAAATCACACGGTGCGGAAAAAGACTACGGAATAGAGAATGAATAGCATCTGAATAGCACTGAATAGCGCTGATTGGTTGCTTCAATGACGCATTCTCTATTCCGCAGTCTTTTTCCGCACCGTGTGATTTCACCCTTACGGCTTACGGCCTCTTAGAACGGAATCCATAATCCGGTCTTAATTTTAAGCAATGTCTTAAGATGCTAATACGGCTCTTTGATTGGTTCATGCATTAGCTTAAGACCATCTCGAATCTTGAGCAACCCCGGATCTTGTTTACCCTGGATATACAATAGAGTTTTAAGTCTTAAGCCATAAGAAATGGATGAATCACATCGATTATTCCTCTCGGATTCGACTATAATTAGTCAGTTTCTTATGGCTTAAGTCTTAAAACACCTATTATAGATCCGGGGTTATGGATTCCGTCCTTAAAGCAAGGTTGTGGATCTAGTCTTAAGCGGCGTTTACAATGAGATTTTATGGCGTAAAATTCAAGATTAAGCCTTAAATCGTAAAAAAATTGAACTATCAATGGCTGCGTTCAGCAGAACGGTTGTTTTGCAACTGTTGGAAGTTTCCTTCGCGCTAATTGGATCATACTTTTAGATCTAGAAGAATGGTCCTATCTCAGCAGACAATCATAAAACGGTTGCAAAACTGTTGAGTCTGCTGAACGCAGCCAATAATCGAGTGTTCTCCTCACATTCGACCGTGATTAGTCAATTTCTTATGACTCATAGTTTAAAGCTTAAATTTTACGTATTAAAATCTTATTGTAGACGCCACTTTACATATATGTCAAAACCAAAGACTAAAGCTGGTTCTACATTGACCCTTTTTACACCGAGAACTTGATACGCGTATTAGCTAGTAACTTTCTATCAAATTATTTTAATTTCAGCAATGTATTTAAAAAATGATGTACTAAATTAGTAGAATATGCATCAAAATAATTAATTAAATACACATATGTATATGTTTACACGTTTCGCCGAAATTAAGATAATTCAATAGAAAGTTACTAGTTAGTGTCCGTATCAAGTGCACGATATAAACTAGGCATTTGATCGCATCGCAGCGTCACAAGCGTGTGTCGCAAGTGTTGCAGTCCAATCACTGTCGAGCTAGCTTGATTGGACCACAACGCTTGCGACGCTGCGATGCGACTAATGTAGAACTAGCTTTAAGGGCAGGGAATCCATAGACGTTGCTCAAGATTCGAGGTGGTCTTAAGCTAGCGCATGAACCAATCAGAGAACCATATTAGCATCTTAAGATTGCTTGAGATTTAATGCGGGGTCTACAATAGAAGTCGTAGCAGTCGTAGAGTCTTAAGTCGTAGAAAATTGACCAATCACAGTCGAATATGAGAAGAATAATCAACTGTGATTGGTCAATTTTCTACGACTTAAGATCTTACGATCGCTACGACTTCTATTGTAGACCCCGCATAAGACCGGACTATGGATTTCGGCCTAAAGCCTTGTGTCCACGATGCTAGAAACTGGTCCGAGATCTCGGAGAGAGAAAGAATTAACCAATCACATTTAAACAAGTTAGTCACATGATCAATGCGATTGGTCAATTCTTTCTTCATCCGAGATCTCTGACGGATTTCTAGCATCGTGGACACTGGGCTTAAAACCTATGTCCACGATGCTAGAACTCTGTCCGAGTTCTTGGATCTTTTAAGAATGTATATCCAATCAACTTATAGGCCGGTATTCATAGTCAATTCTTATATTCAAGATCGTCTTAAGTTCAGCCTTGAGGTGTCATGAACCAATCATAGAGCTGCATTAGCGTATTAAGACCATAGAGATATAAGAATAGAGCACGTCAGCAGTAGGCTGACGCGTGAGTGGCTG